AAATGCTCGGCAACAGGATTAAAATGCTCGGCAACAAATACTCGGGTAAATATTTCGAGTAAAATGCTCGGCAATAGGATTTCTATTATATGACAACTCTCAAAATATATTTTTCCTTGTCTTTTTTGAAGGATTTGCTTGCATTTACGGCAAATAATTTCAGATTTTCAGATGCAATAAAAACAAACATCCTGAAGCACAGAAGCAGGTTCTGAAGTTGCATACCAAATTAGGAACAACTTGACACTGACGCCATCGTTCTTGCATTTGACCTATTCGGATTTTTGCTTCGTTCAAACCTTAACCGAAACAAGGAAAATCTGTTTAGACGACTAAGACGAGGGCTTTTTACGATGTAATCCCTTCTCAGATTTTCGTGCTCTCATGACCGTATTTGGTAAAACACGTCATTGTCATATAATAAATGTACATATTATTGTTTAATTAAATTAAGAGCTTTTACTTTATCTATGTAAATATATTGATCTTTATTATATAGTAGATAGTGAGATACTAAAAAAAACACACAGTGATAATATTTTCCATATCTTCACTAGTGAAAATATCGAACATTACACGTGGCTTGAAGATATGACTTTTATCTTCCCGTGTTAAAAACAATATCTTACTCCCACTCGAAGATATCGATAAAAGTCATATTTTCGCGCCGCCGTGTAATATCCTCTATGACTATAGCTCTAATACTTGTTATGTTTGAAACATATTTATTTCCCACCATGTAAATTGTTGACGACGCGTTCGAATCGCTCCTGGCGCAAATAAAACATTTATGTTGATTAATTGTTAACATTATATACTTATATATTAATGAATTATATAATGAATATTGTTTATTTTAACAACTAACTCGTAACTCGTTTACATCTTTCAAACGTTGGGGCTTAACTCGAAGAACAAAATGTTTGACTTTGCTCGAGTTAAGCCCCTATTTTTTAGAGGGCTTAACTCGAAGTAGCTAACTCCAGTTATGTACTTCGAGTTAAGCCCTCAACGGAAATGGGTGTGACATGGGCGTGGCATGGGCGTGGTCGGGGCTTAACTCGAAAGGGCGTGGTCGGGGCTTAACTCGAAGGGCTTAACTCGAGGGGCTTAACTCGAAGATTTGCTACCCCGCCCCCAGGTGATGACCATTTGCCTTCGAGGCCCCACACTTCTCGTACAATTCGTTTTAAATTTGTTAAATCACCGGTCCACTTTAAACGTACTCCATCATAAGACATGCCAGGCAGTTTAGTGCAACTAGCACTAGTAAGGAAGGAATTCAGACAACTATTTTCATTTGTATTAGCAACATTTTGATGGAGCTTATTAAGAGCACGTCCTTCCGCCATGACAGTGGGAAGGAATGGGCACGTCCTTCCGCCATGACATGGGAAGGAATAAATAATCTCATCAACCGTAAAAGGAAGAGTAGCAAACATATAACGTCTCTTAGATGTCCTAAAAGAAATATATTATCGTCTAATACTTCAGAATTCCCAAACATTTTCAACAAACATTTTTCCTCGGTTGGCCATGAACTGGCCTCTAAAATGCCAAATTCCTCAACCTCATTTCATGAATATTTATCAAATTCCACTAATCCGTTTTCATTCGCATTTAATTATGTCTCCCCAAAAGAGCTTGAGTTGGAAATAATGACAATTCCGTTGAACAAATCATATGGTCTATATTCCTGCCCTGCACGTATTTTAAAATGCTCACGATATATTTTAAGTAACCCTTTATCCGTCTTAATCAACAAATCTGTAGAATCTGGCATTTATCCAGATAAACTTAAACATGCTAAAGTTATTCCGATTTTTAAAAATGACGATGAAACCGATCCTTCCAATTATAGACCAATATCGCTTCTATCAATTTTCAATAGGATCTTTGAAAAAGTTATGTATAAGCGTCTTAAAAACTTTTTTGAGAAATACAATATGCTATATGAAAATCAATATGGCTTTCGCGAAAAACGTTCAACCCAACATGCCATAATTGACATTGTGAATCAAATTCAAACAAATATGGATAAAAACATGTATACGTGTGGTATCTTCATTGATTTACAGAAAGCATTTGATACAGTAAATCATTCCATATTATTACAAAAATTACAGCATTATGGAATACGTGGAATTATTAATGATTGGTTCTCGTCATATTTACTAAATCGCATTCAAACAACGCAGATTGGTGCTGTAGTATCAGATAAAGAGACAGTGCTCTCTGGCGTACCTCAAGGATCGGTTTTAGGACCACTGTTATTTCTTATTTACATTAACGATATATATAACTCTACCGATAAATTAAAATTCTCTTTGTTTGCCGATGATACCAATCTATTATATGCTGACAATGATCTAAAGTCCTTGGAAACTACTGTTAATCACGAACTAATCAAATTATATAATTGGTTAACTGCAAACAAATGATCTCTTAACGTTAAAAAATCTAATTTTGTCATTTTCCACTCTCACCAGAAAAGGTTAGATTATCAGGTAGACCTGAAAATATTCGACAATCATTCAAATACATTTAGCTCTCTGGAGCATAAAAATTATGTTAAATATCTGGGTGTACTTATTGATAGTGGCCTCACATGGAAAGATCATATCGACTACGTTGCTTCGAAAATAAGCAAATCAATTGGCATTATTGCCAAATTAAGACATTTTGTTCCAAGGAGTACTACATCGGATATATACAGATCTCTTATAATACCATATACCTCGTATGGTATTATTCTATGGGGTCAAGCTGCTAGGGTTTACCTTAACAAGATTTTTAAGCTTCAAAAGCGTGCTATTCGATTAATGAACTTTGGGAAGTATCGATCCCATGCGATCCCTTTTTTTATTTCTGATCAAATTTTACCTATCGATATGCTTTATTTTAAGTCTGTTTCTATGCTAATGCACGATGTTTATAACAAAATGACGCCGTTAAATATTTCAAATTTATTTATCCCGGCGCGTGAAGTTAACAAATGTAACACTAGGTTCTCCTCTGGCAGCAACTTCTATGTTAAAAGTTCGCGTTTGGACAAGTTACATAGGTCATTTTCAAGAACGGGAGTCAGGATATGGAATAGTATATCTGATGATTTGTGTAATTCTTCTAAAAACAAATTCAAGAAAAAATTGCATGAGATATTGTTATCTATACTTACTATAGAGGAGGATTATGTTGATCTCGCTACAATAATAAAAAAAATTTCAAACATAAATTAAATTATAGGTAACCGCATATCTATGTTCTTACCTTGTTCCTTTTATTATTTTTTGTTGATGCATATGCTAAATTGCAACTGCGTAATTTTAAATCACGTAATATTATCTCTCTTATAGTTTCTCTTATTATTCTTTCACCTTTTGTAAACTACATCTCAAATATCTATCCTTAATTTAATTTTTTTGTAATTGTCCGCCTCGATTAGCTTTTGCTACCTGCGGACAGATTGTTATTGTAAATATTTATAGCTATAATAAAATTGTTGTTGTTGTTGTTGTTGTTGTTGTTGTAGAGTCTAATTTTCGTAGCAGAATTTTGTTTAACTTGCTTGCTTCATATTTTCTTTTCTTATGTCAAAAGGATCATTATGCATTACAGTTTTGAAATAACAAGTCCATATATGCTTTATAACGTGATTTTTTCTTTGCCCGGCCTTTGTCGTTTGACGTATGAACGCGAAGCTTAAACTCTCTATTGTATAAAGATACGTAAACGTCACACAATGCCTGTACTACAAATTACCTTACAATTTCTCAATGAGTGATTCAATCGGACACCGTCGGTTGTGAGTATGCTGATATAAGAAATGAAAGAGATTGTAGAAAATGGTGATTTTTGTAGATTATTTTCTTCACAATTTGTTTAAAAAGGATCGAATATACCCAATTTCAACAATTTTATTTACATTTAATTTTGTCAGAAATATTAACGGCTTATTGACCGACGTGAGGTCTGTACTGTGAAATATCAGACCGAGCTTTTTTAGTATGGACCGACCGACCAAGGAGCGAGGTCCATGCAAAAAACAGATGTCTCATATTTCACAGTACAGACTGAACAAGCGAGGTCAATAATCGTTTTTTTTATATGGCTGAACTGAGTCTATGAGCATATGTTTTCCGCGCGAATTAAATCGGCTATCGTCAGTTTCACTGGGTAACATTATACGGTAGGCATGCATGCCCAATCAAAAAAGTTTGGTTGTTTGAAATTTCTATCTGTAAAACACAATTGGAAATTTAGAAAGCAAAAATTTTTTCTGTTTGCAAAGCAAAAATTTTCCGCCAGATAAACACGACATCCGGGACACCGGTCCCGATACGGAAAATACGGACCACGGTTATTACATGGACAATTGTGTTTCACTGGAAACTAAAACACTCGAAGAACTGATACGTCACGACATCCGGGACCAGATGCGCGTATTTTCCGTATTTCACGCTTGCTAGTGACATACGAAGTTTCAAAATTTCCCGCCATTTTCAGTATATAAAACGAAATTAACGTTGGAAAACGAAATAATTTAAAAGACATCTAAAATTTATTCTACTTTTATGTTTGCACTATAATTTAAAAAAATATCGCTTTTATACCGGTCTTTCGCAGCTTATTTACATGTCTTTGCGGGTAGTTTTGTCACTCTTAATAAGTCCATATAATAAATAGAACATTAAACGGTTGCGAAAAATATGGATTTATGTCCTCGTGTCAAAAACAATAATCTCATATTGTTCATATCTCATATTGTTTTTGCCACTCGAACATAAAATCCATATCTCCTCCCAGCCATCTAATATATAGAGTGTGTATATATACAATTTTGGAAATTATATAATAGAGTGTGTATTATATAATTTCCATACCATGCAGCGAAGACGCAGCCGCGGCAGACAACATCTTTCTGCTTGCGCTGGGTATGGAAATTATATAATACACACTCTAGAACATTTTCATTTTTTTTTTTTCAATTTCATTTTCGTAGGACGCCGAAACATGCATGTCTGCAGATTGTACTATTACGCTCCTTCATTTCGGTGTTGTAGAGCACTCTGTGGAGTTAATTGGGTGTCCATTAGCAATAATCCAAAGCTCGCTTCCCTCGTGGTTGTTTGATCACTCTGGCCCCATGTCACTCTGCGCATGTCTGGATGCGTTAACGACTCGTGTTGTGCCACATGCGCTTGGGAGAGCAAGTGTCATGTATATCAATACGAAGATCATTGCGTGTCTAGATGTGTACCAAGCTGCACTGATGAGGCGTAGGACGCCAAAACATGCATGTCTGCAGATTGTACTATATATATATAAATATATATATATATATATATATATATATATATATATATATATATATATATATATATATATATATATGTACTATTTATAAACCGAGTGAGAGGGCTTTATCGGTGCAGATAGACGCGAGCCGAAGGCGAGCGGCTATAGGCACCGATAAAGCCCAATCGCGAGGTTTATAAATGACTTCTAAAATTCACCTTTTGTTTTGGGTCCCAATGAAATAATAAGAAATGCTAACTGCAATAGTTCTATTGTTTTACGATTCTTCCTTTCATTGATCAGCAAACAAATTAATGACTAGACTAATTATCAAGTTATACAAGTCGTTAAACGGAGTTTTCAAATGGAAATTTGAACATATTTGACTTGTTTTGTTAATGAGTCGGTTTCGAAGCGCTCGAAGTGCTGAAGAGGAGCAAACGTTGCTCGAAAGCGCGATACCGCCAAGTACAAGACAAAGTGGGCTTTGAAGATTTTTGATTCCTGGAGAGCTGCTAGAAAGGTTAAAGAAGTGAAGATCAACGACGCTGATCATGAAACTGATGATATTGGCCCAATCCAGACATTAACTTCATCGCTGGCGGAGATGAATGAAGCGTCTTTAGCATTTTAGTTAAGCAAGTTTGTTGGGTTTAAAGAGTTCAAAGTGGTGTGTAATCAAAACGAAAGGGTTATTAATCCCGTGTTTAACAATTGTAACATTACCTTTAACTTTGGAAAATAAAGTATTTATTGATTTCTCGAATATTTGAGTTTTTATTAGGAACAGATTAATAAACATTTTGTTAAAGAATGCTTTATGAAGGTACATGTATCTTTATCATAAAGGTACATGTGGTCTATATATGAATTTTAAATCAGCTCACACCGATCTATATCACGGTATATAATTGTCATCATGTGACGAGTTTTAAGAAATTCATTGGATAATTGACTCATGAATTATTCATAAATTATATATATATATATATATATATATATATATATATATATATATATATATATATATATATATATATATATATATA